CTAGTAGCGTCCTTTGCTCCTAGTAGCGATGCCCTTTGTTACTAGTACCTTCTTGTTAGGAGTAGCGATGCCAGGAGCCCCTAGTAGCGTCCTTTGCTCCTAGTAGGGATGCCCTTTGTTACTAGTAGCTTCTCGTTACTAGTAGCGATGCCAGGAGCCCCTAGTAGCGTCCTTTGCTCCTAGTAGTACGGCCAGGAGCCCCTAGTAGGATCACTTGCTCCTAGTAGCGATGCCCTTTGTTACTAGTAGCTTCTCGTTACTAGTAGTGATGCCAGGGGCCCCTAGTAGCGTCCTTTGCTCCTAGTAGTACGTCCAGGAGCCCCTAGTAGCATCCTTTGCTCCAAGTAGTTGCTTCTTGTTACTAGTAGCGATGCCAGGAGCCCCTAGTAGCGTTCTTGCTCCTAGTAGTACGGCCAGGAGCCCCTAATAGCATCCTTTGCTACTAGTAGCGATGCTCTTTCCCCCTAGTAGCTTCTTGTTACTAGTACTGGTGCCAGGAGCCCCTAGTAGCATCCTTGCTCCTAGTAGTACGGCCAGGAGCCCCCAGTAGCATCCTTTGCTCCTAGTAGCGATGCCCTTTGTTATTAGTAGCTTCTCGTTACTAGTAGCGATGCCAGGAGCCCCTAGTAGCGTCCTTTGCTCCTGGTAGTACGGCCAGGAGCCCCTAGTAGCATCCTTTGCTCCTAGTTACTAGTAGCGATGCCAGGGGCCCCTAGTAGCGTCCTTTGCTCCTAGTAGTACGGCCAGGAGCCTCTAGTTGTTCCTAGTAGCGATGCCCTTTGTTACTAGTAGCGTCCTTGCTCACCTTCTTTTGATTCCTTGGCAAGACTTTTGTACAGTCACAAGTTGTATCAGAACACCAGACTACTTACTGTAAATGCTTTAGAAGTCGTGAATGTAATGTAACTGCACGTGGTTATATACAAAGACGAACCCAGACTCGTTCTACAAGATCCGAGCAACGTGATGAGTTGACAAGTTTGCTGATCGTTTTTAGGGGTTATTGGGACTTGCTGCTGCTGTGTTCAATCTCCAGTATGGCACTCAGCCGGTTGGGTCTAGGAAGCTTGAGCTCAAGCCAGTTTCAGGATGGACTTTTCCATACTTTTCCTACGCCGCTATTCTCTTGTTCGTCGATAACTGGAAGCTATGGGGTTCTTAAAGGCCATGATCACAACATTTTTCACTTTCAGGATCTATCTCCTGATCCTATCACAGTGCGTTGCTTGTTTGGCCCCACCTGTTGTGCTGTCGCGATCCGGGTGGTAGTTAGCAACCGCATAAGAACGCAATCTTTTTTATCCGTTATGTTTATTCCCGAATGCATAGTGAAGGGTTCTCGTTTATAGTTGGGGGTTGCGGGGGTAGAGTTGTGTTATCGTGGTGTGGCCGTGTCGTCGAAAATTTCTTCCTTGTGGGAAAACTCTTGGAGAGTTTTTTGATGGAAGAGGATCGTCAGATTCGTGTGAAATACCATGCGTTTGGGAGTTTTGAAACTGGAAGGTTTAGAGGATTGTGTTTTTGGGGTGTTGGATGTGGCTGTGACATTGGGAATTGCGTTCCTGGCTGTTGCTTTGAAGCTGTGTTTTCGTGACAAGTCTCAGCTAAAGTGGCGATTTTGGCGGATGGCATTCCGATCTTGTGTGGTGCAAATCTTGCTGAAGATGATATCCTCACTACTGCGTGGCAGGCGCAGTGTTTTGTGCGTGTTGGAGGTGTCGACGTTGAACTTTTGTGGCAGGCGCAGGGAATCGTGCATCGTGTGACCAAATTCCGTCTGTGATGTCGCTGTGCCGTGCAGTTGTGCGCGGCTTCGGTCGAAAGTGCCTTTGCGCGCGAGTCCGTGCCATTGGGTGAAGGAAAACATGCTGGTGCAAATTCGGCGTGTCACTGGCATGATTGGCGGGGACCACGAGGCTTGGTGGTACACCGACTGTTGTATCTAGTCTGTGGCACACCACCAGAGTGTTGCACGAGGGTGCCACAAGAGTCTTTCACAAGAGTGAGTGTCCCACAAAAGTCTCCAACAAGAGTGTCCAACAAGAATCTCCCTTAAGAGTGTCCTACAAGAGTGTCCCACAAGACAGAAGAGTAGCGTGTCCCACAAGAATGTCCCACAAGAGTTTCCCATAAGAGTGTTTCACGAGGCCGCTGTTGCTGCAAAACGTACGTGTGCAAAAAAGAGGATCGGTCGTTTTTTGCTGCCCCATGTCTGATATCAATCCGCTCCTTTCAGTTATATTTCATATTCGGGTTCGTGGGTTCTATCAGTTTTTTTTTCCGTTATGCAGACTTTTTTTGCTTTGCCTGACGGACTTGTTCCTGTTTGAAGGAGCATGGAGTACTCATGTCTACTCATGTCTTACTTGAGCATAGAAACGTTTTGGTGTAGTGTTTGGCGAGTCTTTCTTTGTGTGCTTGCCTTCTTTCATTTTCCATTTGCATTACCACATGTTTTGATTTCTTTCACTTCAAAGAAGCAAGTGTTGGCACTTCAGGGCAAGCAAATTCACTTGTACAAAGTAGAGGGAGGGGCAAATGGTATCAAGGCCCTTGGTTTCTTCAGAAGTTCGACTGCAAGATGCTAAGGCCCACACATGGGCTTGCCATTATGGTTCTCAGTGGCTTAGAGGAAGGCTACACTTCAGCCCGGTCTCTCAAAGAGATTTCAGCACTGCCAAGTTTGGTCAGTCCAAAGCATTTGCACCCAGAGAAAAGAGACTGGTGGATCATGCTAGACCTCTAAGAAACTATTGACATTATGAGACCTTGTTGAGACCTCATCCAACTAGATGTGTTATGATGTCTTTAGGTGCGTTCCGTTGTGCTTTTGATTCCTGATTTATGGCCTGACATTTGCTGTTGCAAGTGTGTGCTTCCAAAGGCCATGAAGGTGTTGCTGAAGCATGGAAATGTCAGTGCGACACTCAGCTAGTCATGTCGGAGAGCTTCTTGTCCTCCTTCCAGAGAATGTTTGCCTCCAAGGTCGAAGCATGGCTGGCAGCTTCTTGGGCGAGCCTTTGTCAGCAGGAATCTCAGTCGAAACCTAGGTTGGAGGCCTAGGAGCCAAGGATGCCACTAGGGGTTCCTGGCCGTACTACTAGGAGGACGAGGGGCAAAGGGCATCGCTACTAGGAGCAAAGGATGCTACTAGGGGCTCCTGATTGGATGGAGGCCAACCGATCATCAAATATCATCCTTCTTGAGGTCTGCCCTTTGATTCGCTTCAGCTTCTTTGTCCAATACTTAGAGCATTTGTGTTAATTAGGTCCTTGAGGTTACAGTTCAGCTCACCTTATTCAAGCAGTCAGACTTGAGATTGATGACTTTCGGAGAGCATGCTTGAGTTGTCCATGCCATTCTTACTCGAGGACTCTCTGCCTCTTCTGAATACGGGTGTCATATCCTGCATGAGGAGAGTGCAGACAGTAGCCCAACGAAGAAAAGCATAGGAATGAGCACTGGAATGGGCACTCACGCCAGGACGGTATTCTCAGCCCTAGGCATTCCAGAGGCGAGGGATTTGGCGATGGATTTGTGCGATGGCGATGCGGCGATGCCACCCTTTCTTTTTATTCAAGGAGCTCCAGAAATTGGATCGGCTCCTTTGGGCAGTTGCCAGTGTATGGTCTGGATCTAAGCGTAGATACTTCAAAAAGGACTTTCGGAAGTGAATCAAGATGAGTGGATTTGAATGGAGAAATCATGCTATCATTATGGTCACACCACTTCAAGCGATTGAAGGAGTTACATGTCTAATGTCCGAAGTTTTGTCACTCACTTGCAGGAAGCTAATTCTTGACAATGCCATCAATCCATGAGGCTTTTTGAAATTGAGATCACAAAAGTGCAGGTGGCGAAAGCACAGAGCATTGAAAGAAAGTGGGCGGGCAGCAGCCTCAGGAGCGCCTGCAAAGAAGATTTGGTGATCACTGCTTGTAAGTACTGCGCTTGTAATTCTGTTGCTTGAATTTGGCCGAACTAGTAGCAAGAAGCAACTAGGAGCAAGGGCATCGCTACTAGTAACAAAGAGCATTACTACTAGTAGCATTCTTGCGACTAGGAGCAAATAGCTACTAGTAGCAAAGGGCATCACTACTAGGAGCAAGCATGCTTCTAGTAGCTCCTGGCCTTACTACTAGGAGCAAATAGCTTCATACATTCTCCCTACTTGGTCGTCACCATTTAGGTTGCACCCAAAAGGGCGACAAAGGGTCCAGGCTCTGAACTGACTGGGCGTGCGCCTCAGAGTACATCAGATCCTTCCTTTTTCAGAACGGGTGCTCCTGAGAGATGTTTTTCGTGCAGAAGCTGTGCAAAACCACTGTCATAAAAAACAACAACATAGACATTTTTTTTTGGCTGAAACATCACCATTATATACCTAGGTTTTGAGTAATTTGTTGTTTAATTGTTTTGTTGTTTATGCAACACATGAAACATAACCGTGTTTTTACAGTTGTTTTTGGCCGAAACCTCACAAACACCTAAGTTTTAAGCTATTGTTTTGCGTTTAGAGGGAACACCCCAAAAAATCAAAATACAAAACAACCAAAAAACAACAGACCAAAAAAGCAACATGCAAAATTAACCGAATAAAAACCAACCAAACAATGTTTGAGACACAATGAGGGTACTATAGGATTTGGATTGGTTGTTTTTGCTTTTGCCTTCATTTTGTCTCAACCATTGGTTTTTATGTTCTTTTTTGGTTTTTGTTTTTTTTTTTGGTAGTATTTTTTTTGGTATTCCCTCTAAACCTTTGCCCGCCTTGAAGTGAAGCAACACAATAGCTCAAAACCTGGGTTTTTGCGAGGCGCCGTCTCAAAAGGCTTTTCAATTGCTGGAGTAGGGTCATGTATGTCTTGCATATATAACTTTCTATATGTTCAAGCGCTTTTCATGTGAGCACTAAAAAGAACCCGCTTCAAGCTTCACAAGGAGTATTATTTTTGTTTAAGCAACTTTTTACACATTGCCTTCTTAAGAGCATTAAGATTCAAACAGAGGAACGCATTACTCGAGAAGCTAATGAGCTAGACCAAGTTGCAACAGCATCAATTAACTTCTATCCAGGCAACACATTATTTCTTTTGGTGTCCTGTCTCAATAAGTGATTCTATTGCTCCGGTAAAGTTGTATCTGTTTTGCTTAAGGTGCTCTACACTTTCAAACGCGCCTTAACATTGAGCACCAAAAAGGAAGGCTGCTTCAATCTTCTCAAGGCCCTTTTCCTGTCAAGTTGTTTTGTTCGGCTTAGCTCTTTCTAGGAAGGTAAGGAGCTAGACTAGGCAAAATAAGTTTAATTGATTTCTATGCCAATGCAAAAGGCAATATATGATCACTAACTGTGAACTCGATTGCACATTCAAGTCTCAAGGGTTTATGTTGAATTTGGGAGCTGTGCTTGACGGTGCGGCTTTGTTTGCTTCCCTCTCGACCACTTTCGCCTGCCCGATCCACTGCTATCCTTCCGCCGCTCTTCCTTTCTTGGCTGGCCTTGCCCTCGGCTTCGTCGGTGGCTCGGTCTTTGGACTTTGGATTTTCTGGACCTGCCTCCGCCCTTTCTTGGGGCGATCTTCCTCGGGTGAGTTCCCTTCTCCTCATTGGGAGCCTACCTCACCTGGCTCGATCTTTGCGGCTCGGTCCAGAAGGCTTCAAGCCTACTTGCATGAGTGACTTCGTCCAGCTCAGTCAGGACCTACGTGAATTGACAGCGGCAGTGCGTGAGCTCACTCTGGTGACTCGAGGATTGGCTGGGAGGCGAAGAGAGGAGGATTCGGGATCTACAAGCACCCCGTCTTGTGATTTGGGCTCATCTCGAGCCTGGGAATTGGTGTCAGACGGAACTGCAATTCCTGGTGCACCTGCGGATTTTCTTCGCAGGAAGGTGGTGGTGGAATTTGAAGAGGGGCCTCCCGAGACCCCGGACTTTTGCCTGCAGCTCGCAGGTAAGAACCTCTCCTCGTCCAAGACTTCATCGATTGAGAGAGCCAGGGAGGCTTTCAAAGCGGGCTTCTGGGTGAGAGCATTCTGGTCTTGCAATACTGAGTATTCCAGTCAGTACCGGCCAGGGATTTCAGCTTCTACTCATTGGGTTCTCCGCAAAGGATCTTCCTTTGAATTTGTGAGGGTGACCAGTCAAGCTGATTGTGACCGTCTCTCCTCCGAGTTCCCGGACATCCATTACGTTGAGAAGCTCCCTACCTTGACGGAGCTGCATATCTTTTGCGCTGGAGCATCCATCCCAGTTCCACCGCTGTGGCGATGGAACGCCAAAGCATAGCTTTTGCGGCCAACACTCTTGACCACTCTCTGCTTGTCATCCATTTGCCTGAGGACCTATGTGAGAGTGGCATGGAGACGATGGCCTTTGCTATCCCTTTGATCGCAAGGAGAAGGGGGATGATGCTTGCATTGCCAATTGGTCTTTTGAAGCAAACCGTTTTGACCGCAGCAGGTCCCATTGAAGAGGAAGCTCTTGTGGGCCCTTCACGTTCCTTTGAAGTTGACCTCCTGGCAGAGGATGAGATGACAGGGGCTCCTCATCCCTTGGGTGTGAGGAGTGAGGTGGCGGTGGTGGATTTCTCAAACGATGTCCTCCCCCTCCTACGGGACTAACCCTGTGACTGATTCCACTGAGGAGATTGCATGTTTCAATGATCTTCATCCAAACGCCATTCCGGCATCAGCTGAGCTTTTGAACCTCGTCCTTGTTTGGGCAGAGAGCGATTCAGCAAGCCGGACCCATTTTTACAGTGCTCGAGACGAGCCAGCAACCAAGGCCTCCGAGGCTCCCAAGAAGGCTCCTGCCAAGAGGATGACAACCGCTGCCCTAGCAGACCAGATTGCAGCGTTGTCCGCCCAGGTTTCATTGATTGCAGCCCAGCAAAGCCTCCATACTACCAGAGATCCTGCCCAGCCAGCTGGCCAGGCCAAGCCAGCTACCAGTGCCACTCCTGCAGGAGGGCGAACAGGCATGGTTCCCAAGATGCCGGCCGTGTCCTCTCAAGAATCCTCCGGAGACAGCAGATCAGATTCTCTCACACCAGACAATGGCCTTGAATGCTCTGGTATCACATCTGATCAACGGGGGCGACTCCATGGGGCTCGATCTTCATGCAAGCGGGGTGAGCTCGAGTTCTACAAAAGGCACGGCAAAAAGAGAGAGGCTACAGCAGGATTTGGCTTCCAGGCAGTCCTCCTTCTTCCTAGCACTACAACAGCAGATTTTCCGAAGGTTGAACCCTTCCTCCATTCTGCCTCGGACAGAAGAAGAAATTCAGAAGAAGGCTCCATCTCTACTAACCTACCTGGAAAGGTATGGAGGGTTCAAGGGCCAACGGGAGGCAGGCTTGACCATGTGGGTCTTTGCTCATGCGCTGGATGCCGCCGCTACAGGCGACTTCTTTGCTACCAAGGAGTACCTAGCCTTGGGCGTGATGGCCCTAGAGCAAAGTGCATTCGATGCAGGAGATTGGGGCCTCGCCTATGTATTGTCCCTGATGGAAGATCCACCTCAAGCCCTGTTCCAAGAGAAGATGCAGTCGATTACAGCAGCAGGAGGACGCCCCTTTGCACCTTTGATACCACCTCAGCTGGCATCCATCAATCTTGCCTATCTCAAGGAGATAGATGTCCTCCAGACCCGACGGCAAGAAACCAAGTCCAAGAAGAGTCAGCCGAGTGGTGGCAAAGCAGAGGAAGATTCTCCCAGCCCCAGACGTCGCCCGAAGTTCCCGAAGAAGGTGAAGGGGGCAGGGGAGGGTCAATAGCAGTTCCAGACCCAGAGACAGAATTCATCTTCAAGCCCAATGATGTTTGGAGTGCATGTGGCCCCCAGAGATGCTTGGATGGACAGCAGTTTGATCCTGATGGTGAAGGCTGCCTTCAGTCGGGTTTCTCCAGCTCCCCTTTTGTCCCTGGGGTTGGTAGCCGTGGTTCTGCTTCGGGACCTAGGCATCAACCCAAGGGCGGGTTGAGCGGGCAATTGCAAGGTGACATCAGACAGCTCAGCTATGTTACTTGGTGTTCGAAGCTGACCACACTGGTGTTGAGATCACGTACAGCCTTTGCAGCTTTTCTTTCTTTCTCCATACGTTTGTCTCGGAGCTCTTCATGTAGGGCTTCGGCTTCACCGACTTTGTTCCCTGTCCCTCCACCGTGTGATGGATGTTTTGACAGGATGCCTGCAGGGATCTCGAGCTCGAAGCGGAGGGCCTTGAGTGTTGCCAGAGCAGTTCATGTTATTTGCATGGCCTTGAACTTTTGGCAAGCAGATGGGTCTTTTGCAAACGCAGAGTCTATGTGGAGGGTGCCTAGTTCTCTTCATCGATCTCTTTACAAGAGGATTAGAGCCTTTATCAAGTCGGACGGCCTCAGAGCAGTTTTTGACTCCCTGCATGTTGGCCGAAAGAATCCAGAGCTTTTTGCACGCTTGAATGAGGTGATTGCAATGCTTACTACTTTGGGCTGCTCAGCATCTCCTTATTCAAAGACTTTCTCAGGCTATGAGGTCACCAAAGACAACACGCTTTTCCCGGAATTGGAGCCCTATAGAGATCTGGATCGGTCGCGCCTGGTCCTTTTTGGAAGAGGCCACTGGGATGTCACTCCTTTCCTAAGTGATGAGCTGGTCATGGCTTATCGCGAGCCAGAGTCGATCAAGGTGGCCAGAGTGCCAGCGGCTTGGGAGTACCCTCGCCTACGTGATCCAGTTGATACAGTCGCTCAGCTTGCATTGCTTTGGGATAAGCAGGGTCTTCTTCGCCTTCATCAAGACAAGCTTGCGTCGAGGCAGCCATGTGAGTTGGTGCGTGTGTTCAACTGTTACAAGGCGGTCGATCGAGACCGCCAAATAGGCGACAGACGCGGCAGAAATGCTGTGGAGGGTATCTTGAAAGGGCCGTCGAGCAATCTTCCAGCAGGACAGGACCTATGTGACCTTTCCATTGACTTGGAGCGACAGAGATTACATGTCTCCATCTCGGACAGGAGAGACTTCTATCATCAGCTGTGGGTTACCAAAGCTCGAGCAATTACCAACACTTTGGGGCCTGGTCTGCCAGTTTCCTTTGTCAGAGACACTGAGGCGTACAGGCTTTTTCTGTTGGAATCTGCAAGAAAGAAATATTCCCGAGAACGACATGGTGACCATCTTCGAACCCAGCTGGATATACGACCAAATGACAACATTGTTTGGGCGTGTTTTAGCAGTGTCCTCCAAGGTGATCATGGAGGGGTAGAAATTGCTACAGATGCTCACAGCCAGTTGTTACAGTCCTTCGGGTTGTTGAAAGAAGATGTGCATCTGGTGGCTAACAAACCCTGCTTCGATTCGGAGACAGTTGAGGGCCTTGTGATAGACGACTTCTTCTGCGTGTCAGTTGATGACAAGACTGTGCCAAGACAGCAAACAAGATCCTACAAAGCTTACCAGAAGGCTCAGGAAGCCTATGCTGCCTATGACCTTTTGGGCTCGCCCGAGAAGGATATCATTGCGGAGGGTGAAGGCAAAACCATTGGTGCCTATATCAACGGGAGTGCTTCGGCCTCATCTTTTGGGGTGTGTACTGTGGGCGCTCCAGCAGCCAAGAGGCTAGCCCTCTCTGCTTTGACCCTGCATAGTTGTGCATTGCCCTACACTACAGCTTCTTTACATCGGTGTATTGTGGGAGCGTGGGTATCAATGCTTCTGTACAGGAGGCCCATGATGAACCTGCTGAACCACAGTTTTGCACTGGTTGAGAGCTGTCAGGAGTTGAATGAGGACGCATTGCTTCCTTTGCCATGTGCAGTTGCCCAGGAGCTTACTCTTTGTGCAGTGTTGGCACCACTCATGTTGAGTGACGTTGCCGTCCCCTTTGATGATATGATCTATGCAACAGATGCTTCCGAATCCCGGGGGGCTGTGCGCTCAGCCTTTGCCGGTGGAGATGTCGCGCAAATGCTGTCAAAGGTGTGCAAGACTAAGGGTGCCTACACTCGCCTTCACAGAAGCCCTCAGGCTAAGAACCAACAGTCTTTGGTCGAGTTTGATGAAGCAGGCATTGATGTTCAACTGGATCCTGGTGGCGTTCAGCGGCCTCTTGCTTTTAGCTTTGAGTTCATTGAGATTTTTGCAGGATCTAGCAGGATCTCACAGGCAATGGCCTCGCTCAATGTTGTTGTGGGACCGCCGTTGGACATCTCTCTGTCGGAGGAGTACGATCTCACGAAGGTGCATGTGCTGGCTTGGATATTTCACCTCATTGAGTCGGGGCGCCTTTTGGCAGTTGCTGTTGAGCCTCCTTGTACAACCTTCAGCATCATGAGACGTCCTGCTTTGAGAAGTAGACATCAGCCGCTGGGATTTGACCCGCATGATTCAAAGACAAAACTGGGGAACCTCCTTTTCCTACGGGCACTCCAGATCTTGAAGAAGGCCGCTATGCATACAATTGCAGGTCTACTAGAGAGACCCTTCAGTGCACTTAGCAAGTTTCTGACGGCCTACCAGCGGGCGCTGCAATGGCCAGGAGCTCAAGAAGTCCGAATTGATTCTTGCCAGTATGGTTCAGCTCATCAGAAGTCCTTTGCTTTCCTGGCAGTCAATGTTGACATGACCTCCATCGTTCGAAGATGTCCTGGCACTTGCAACCATGTTCCTATTGCTGGTGTTTACACGAAAGCATCGGCTATATACACTCCAGAACTTGCAGCAGCACTTGCATGGGCTCTTCGGCATTCTATTGAGGCCATAAAGTCCAAAAGAGCAGCTGAGGAGGATCTGTCCGTTGAAGGCTTGGAAAATCAGATGATCAATGAGATCATGCTTGCAAATGATTGGAAGGTTGTTGAGTCGTGGCGGTTCAAGAAGGAGTCGCACATCAATATCCTCGAGCTTAAGGCGGTGGAGCGTCTAGTTGAGAGGCAGGCTCGAGCTGGGCCTTCGAGGTTCCTGGGTCTTGTTGACTCAAATGTGGCCAGGTGTGCTTTGGGCAAAGGACGCTCTGCTTCCAGGGCACTTTCAAGTGTGTTGAGGAGGATCTCAGCAATGTTGGTGGCTTTTGGGCTTTACATGGTTAACCCTTTCTGTCCTACGAGGCTCAACTGTGCCGATGATCCTACAAGGATGCATGATCTGCGTGGTGCTGTGCCTGGATGGTCGTGGAGAGAGAAGTCAAGCCGTGAGCTGTGGAACATTGCATTGATTAGGCCTACCAGACGATGGGCCTCAAATTGGATCAGGCTGGTTCTTTTCCTGCTTGGTCCTTGGGCTACAGAGTTGAGCAACAAGTCATTGTACCGTTTGCGCGGCCCTGAATTTGGCCTTTTCGAGGATCCTTCAGCAGCAGCTTTTCCTTGCCCAGCCTTCGTCCATTCGCCTCTGGATTTTGACGCAACTCTTGGCTTTCCAGGTGAGGGTCACCCCCTCATCGTTGCTCTGGAATTTGAGCGGCTTCTGATTTCTGGCCAGTCCTCCCTATCTTTCCTTTCATCCCGGCTTACGCCTCTACCTGTCATCCTCAGCATCTGCTTTGTGGTCTTGTTGAGGCTTCTCCGCTGTCTGCGCTGGTGCTGTGCTTTGCTTTTGCTTAGCTCGGTCGCGCCTGTTTGCGCAGCAATGACGCCCGCAACTGCTGCAGAAGTTGCCAGAGCTTTGGAAAGAGGCGCCTTGGAACCAAACCTGGAAACGAGGCCTACATTGCCGGTAACGAATAGGTATCGTGAAAGATGCTGGAACGCCTTTGAAGCATGGTTGAAAAGTGAAGAAGTAGACTTTGATACTTTGCTTGCACACCACGTTGAGTACATTGATGATATTAATGCCGTGGTTGCTCGGTTCGGTCGCGCTTTATTTTATGCTGGAAAACCTTACAACCAGTTTGCAGAGACAATCAACACGCTGACGACGAGAAAGCCAGCATTGAGACGGATGATGCAAGGGGCATGGGACGTGGCGTTCTCCTGGCTTCATGCGGAGCCTGGATCCCACCATGTCGCCATGCCCTGGCAAGTACTGCTGTCGATGATCGTAGTCAGCCTCTTTTGGGGATGGACGGCTTTTGCAGGTTGTTTAGCTCTTGGCTGGGGCGCTTTGTTGCGCTCTGGAGAGATCTTGTCTTCAACACGAGCTGACCTTCTTCTCCCAAGAGATGTTGGTTTTACTGTTGCTTTTGGTTTGTTATCTATTCAGCAACCGAAAACACGTCGAACCGGAGCAAAGCATCAATCAGCAAAGCTTGATATTCCGGACCTCCTCGAAGTTGTCGACTTCTGTTTTGGCCACCTCAGACCATGCGACAAGTTGTGATCCTTTTCTGGACAGACTTTCAGGTCCAGATTTAGAGTTGTGCTTGCGGCTTTACGCCTACCCATACAGAAGATAGGTGACATGAAAGCGTTGGATCCAGGTAGTTTGCGCTCTGGAGGTGCAACCTGGCACCTCCAGATGACTGAAGACGGAGAATACACACGCCGTAAAGGCAGATGGTTGTCAGCTAAGATCATGGAGATCTATATTCAAGAGACGGCAGCTTTAATGTATCTGAAGAAGATCCCAGCAACGTCTTGTGAATTTGTGCTGAAGGTTGCCCACCTTTTTCCGGCTGTGTTTTCTAAGGTCAGGCACTACTCCCGACTGGGTCTCGCTCCAACAGCTTGGTTTGTCCTCCTGCAGCGAGAAGACTTGGATGGCACGGGAGAAGGCGGAGCATGAGTTCCAATGGTGGTGACATACCACCCTGTGTGCTTTGTTAGTTGGAGAAAATGGTGTGCTGGAGATTGAGCTGTT